CACCCTCTTGTGCTTGCTACCAAGATGCAGGGCATCCGGATCCACCCAGTCGCTGAAAGCAGAAAGCTGGACTTAATCCTTAACTCCAAAACCTCCTATTGATAATCTGACTAGTTTCCCTCCCTAGCTACTTTAGAATTTATACTGAAAAGTCCTCTGTGCTTCTCCAGAATATCCTCTTTCAAAGCAAGCTATGTGTTCCAACCTTGGCGTTTCCCTACACTCCCCAGCAATACCACTGACCTAGTTCTAGTCTTACTAGGAGATGCTAAAGGCCAGTCAAGAGGATTTCCAGGACACTATCTACAAGCCCATGTACTCAAGCTTCAGTGCTGTTTTTTTAAAAAATATATCTTTATTGACTTCAGAGAGAGGGAGAGGGAGAGAGAGAGAAACATAAATGATGAGAGAATCCTTGATTGGCTACCTCCTGCATGCCCCCAGCTAGGGATCGAGCCTGCAACCTTGGCATGTGCCCTGACCGGCAACTGAACCCCGATCTCCTGGATCCTAGGTCAATGCTCAACTGTTGAGCCACACCCAGCTGAGCTCCTGTTTTCTTGATGGGACTCATTCTTACAGGTGTTAGGCAATAATTGGTCTTGGTTTTGATTTGTATTTGCCTGATGATTAGTGATGCTCAGCACCTTTTTATGTCTCCGGTGGCCCTTTGGATGCCTTCTTTGGAAAAATGTTTTGTTTTGTTTTAGCTTAAAAAATGTCCAATTTAAAAATCAGATTTTTTTGTTTTAAGGTGTATGAGTTATTTATAAATTTGGGATATTAACCCCTTATCCAATACATGGTTTGCAAAACTTCTCTCCCATTCTGTGCCTGCCTTTTCATTTTGTTGAAAATTGTTTCTTTGGCTGTGCAGAGGCTTTAAAGTAGGGGGTGTGCAGGAGGCAGCTGATCTTTCTCCCTTCTCCTCTCTAAAAATCAATAAAAATATTTTTAAAAATTCTGCTCCTCTGGTTGGAATATGGCCCATGTGGTGGTGGTGACAGCAGGGTACCTTGTTTACTCTCCCACAATATCCCTCTGGTCTGGCAACTTTATTTTTTTTTAAATATATTTTTATTGATTTCAGAGAGAGGGAGATGAAGATAGAAACATCAATGATGAAGAGAGATGCAAATTAAAACCACAATGAGCTATCACTTCACACCTGTAAGAATGGCTACCATCAACAAATTAACAAACAACTCCTGCTGGTGAGGATGTGGAGAAAGGGGAACCCTAGTACACTGCTGGTGGGAATGCAGACTGGTGCAGCCACTATGGAAAACAGTGTGGAGGTTCCTCAAAAAATTAAAAATGGAGCTGCCTTTTGACCCAGTGATTCCACTCCTAGGAATGTATCCTAAGAATCCTGAAACACTAATCAGAAAGAATATATGCACCCCTATGGTCACAGCAGCACAGTTTACAATAGCTAAGATCTGGAAACAGCCCAAGTGCCCATCAGTACATGAGTGGATAAAAAAGCTGTGGGACATTTACACCATGGAATACTACACAGCTGTAAAGAAGAAGAATGAATCTCATACCCTTTGGGACAGTATGGATGGACCTGGAGAAAATTATGCTAAGTGAAATAAGCCAGGCAGAGAATAGATTCAATGACATGGAAGCATATATCAGACTGACAAATGTCAGAGGGATAGAGGAGGGCGGGTGGGTGGAGGGGAAGAGAGTAACCAAAGAATTTATATGCATATATGCACAATCCAAGGACAGGGACAATGGTGGGGAGAGGGACTGGGGAGGGGGATGGGACGGGGTGGAACAGGTCATTGGGGAGAAAAAGGGACATCTGTAATATTTTAAACAAAAATTAAATTAAAAAAAAGAAACATCAATGATGAGTCATTGATCAGCTGCCTTCTGCATGCCCCCTGCTGGGGATTGAGCCTGCAACTGGAGGATGCACCCTGATTGGAGATCAAACAGTGATCTCCTGGATCATAGGTCCATGCTCAACTGCTGTGCCACACCAGCTAGGCTGGCAACTTACTTTAGAATTAACCTTAGCCCAGTGGAGGGGACTATCTTCCCTACTGGGAATACCCTACAGGAAGAGGGTTGGCTACAAAGGAGATCCACCTCTGCTCAGATCCCAGACTGGGCCACAAGGTCCTGCTTGGCCAGACTTTCGCCTCCATAGGCTTGCTCATGGCTTCAGGGCCTGTCTTCTGCAGTTCCAGCTCCTAACACCAGACTAGTGTAGTAAGGGTGGCATTAAGTCACAACTGGCTGGCGAAGAGCAAGAATGTGAATTATTAAGTTTCTTAGATGTGATATCAGTATTATGGTTATACCGGAAAGTATTTTTAGGAGATGCATGCTGATGCATTTTGAGATCAAGTGTCATGGTATTTCACTTTTTAAAAAAAATTTTAAAAAATATTACAGATGTCCCTTTTTCTTGCTATTTCCCTTTCAAATATATTCAGACAGCAAAATACATATACACACACAAAGCATATGTGCATGTATTACTGTTTTTCTCTAATTCTCTGCTTGTAAATAGGAAAACTGAGGTCAAGGGAAAGCTGTTCGTAGGTTAAGGCACCAGGATTATAAATAATTCTGACAAAGGGTGATAAATTAATCTTGAAGGTATTTCTGCTCTTGGCAGGGAGAAACAACTGGGCAGCACTGCATCAGCCTCAGAATTATCCATGCTGGACCACAAAATAATTTTAACTTGGGGGGAACATCAAATGTGAAATGAGCACGTCTCGGTGTATGTAAATTGAACACTGGTTAGGACAGCTATGTGTAACCCTGACAGCTGGTGTTAAATAACTTGAAGCAGCCTGGCTGGTGCGGCCAGTAGTTGAGCATTGACCTATGAACCAGGAGGTCATGGTTCAATTCTGGGTCATGGCACATGCCAGGGCTGCATGCTCCACCCTCAGTAAGGGGGGTGTAGGGGTCAGCCAATCAATGACTTTCATCATTGTTTCTGTCTCTTTCTCCCTTCCTCTCTGAAATCAAGAGAAGGGTTTAGTCCGGTTACCAGGAAACCCTACCACCAGCTTCCTTCAAGTTTACCTTTATTATTATTTTTCTATTCATCTCTTAACATTTTCACTCTCTGGATCTCCTTTGATTCATTTAATGAGTACTGTCTACATGTGAATCAATAAATTGCTTTTTATTCCCTTAAGCTAATTCGAATTTGATTTCTGTCACTTGCAACAAGTATTCTGACTAAAATTAAGTTTATCAAAAAGAGTTCTCCTCAAACAAGGATAATGGCAACCAATCAGGTTCTCTCTTCAAAGCTTTGAATACAAGAGTAGGAAGTATAAGCAGAAGCTGAAAGAACTTGCAAGGAAGATAGCAATCCAGGTCATGATGAAAAGAAACTTACTATTTTTATTTTTTAATCCTCCTCTGAGGATATTTTTTCCATTGCTTTTCAGAGAGAGTGGAAGAGAGAGAGAGAGAGGGAGAGATGTGAGAGACATATCCATCGGTTGCCTCCTACACATGCCCCAAGTAGGGCCAGGAACTGAGCCTGCAACTGAGGTTCAAGCCCTTGACCAGAATTGAACCAAGACCCTTCAGTTCTCAGGCAGAGGCACTAACCACAGAGCCAAACGGGCTAGGGCAGAAACTTACTCTTGATATACTATCTTGGCCTCTATTTTCTACCTCTTCTGTCTCTTTTGTATCTTGTATCTTAAGCTTGGTTTTTTAAAAATATATCTTTATTGATTTCAGAGAGAGGGAGAGGAAAGTGTTAAAACATCAATGATGAGTTGTCATTGATCGGCTGCCTCCTGCACGCCCCCACTGGGGATTGAGCCCGCAACCCAGGCATGTGCCCTGACCAGGAATTGAACCAAGATCTCCTGGATCCTAGGTCGATGCTCAACCGCTGAGCCCCGTCTGGCCAGGCTATCTTGAGCTTATTTGTGACTTCAGCTTATTCTTGGTCCTACCAGCATTATGGCCAGTATTGCTGTATAATTTCCTAAACTGATTTGACTCTAAAACCCTCTTCTTAGAAACAGCAAAAGGTAAACTGTCAGTAAAGCCTTCTGGGCTTTACACAGAACAAACAAGAACAGGTTTCCTCTTCCAAGCTGGTAAGGCCCCTCATAGCATCCTAGGATCCGAAATAACTCATGTTGTAACTAATGTAGTGACCACATTTGGGTCAGGATGTGGGCTTCCCTAAGGCAGGAGGCTTGACAAGACAATGAGATCTTTTGCAGGCAAGTAATTGTACCTGCAAATTTCCTGGGTTCTCAAGTTACTTAACATCTCTTGAGTCTCAATTCCTGTGGCAATAAAATGGGGGAAATCAGATTTGTAATAAAAAATGAAATATACATAAAATCACTGGTACATGTTTAGTACTCCATGAATATTAGTTCCCTTCCCCTAAATTTTAATATAATTTACTATATGAAGTATTACCCAATTATCTTCTTTTGCTCAAATGTCTTAAAATTTATACAATGGAACAGTATTATTCTATATATGACAAACAGTTTAAACAAAGAAACAAGATTTTTTTAATCTAAAAAGTTTGCTGCAGTTTTTCAAATGTTTTTATTGAATTTAAAATTCATTTAAGGGATATACAGATATACAACTAGTTTGATCAGCTACTAATATATTTTGGTAACCCTTTATTTTTGTACTCAAGAGCCAGTTCACTTTTTCTCCATGTTCAATACTTAGCTTTGGTAAAATTTTGCCCTGTTCTTCATCAGTTACTGAAGCACTAGTGTTTCCACTCTGCTTGGTATAAGCTGCTCTTTTAGTGTTCTTCCTGTGAGTATGTTTTGTAGGACTCTTCTGTTTTTTCCCAACTTCACTGCTTATATCCCACAACATTATCTTTCCATCATTCCCTCCAGTAAGCAGCAAATAAGATTCTGGCAGAAAGTAGACCTGGGATACCCCCAAAGTGTGGCCCTTAAATCCCAGTTCCTGTTCACATTTGACTCCCATCACCCTAAAGATTCGAACCTTACCATCTTCTGCACCACAACTAAAAATATTGCCACAGGATGCCACAGACAGAGAATAGGCTAACGCAGGGTTTAAAAGCTGACCAGGTGACTGTGGGCTCTCCACTTCTTCTGTTTCATCCTCCTGTAAATTTGTAATCCAGAGTGGCCGGGCTTTCTGAAGGTTCCACAGCATCACCTTTAAACAAAAGAAGTTACAGAGTCAAAGTTCCAGCCATCTTGCTCAATTACCATGCTTAGTCTGTTTCTATCAAAATCATCAAAGTAATCAAAGATTGATTAGTAGGATACAGTTCCAGCAATATTAAGAAAAAGTTTAGAGGGCACTACCACATGACAGTGGAATGCTACCCTGGTGCCAAAACTAGAATGCTAATGGGCAGTAAGGTAGAATTTAGAAAAGATGATCCTGAATAAAGTGTAATCCAAATTTTTAAGCAGTTGCCAGTTTTCTTTAGGTCATTCTACCTTCATCTCTGCAAGTAAAATGAAAGATTATGAAATTTATTACTTTTAGTCTATGCTGGTTACAAGTAAAAATGCCTATCAACAAAATAAACCTAATCTGGAATATCACTGAAATAATTTCTATCTGAAATCACTGAAATAATTTCTTTTCTTGTTAGTTTCTTGAGATTTAATTCATCTTTGATAATGCCTAGTATAATGCCTAAAAAATAGGAGAAATGCCAAACATGTCTGTTGATTTATTTGACATCTTGGTATATTTGGCTTTTTGTTGTTGTTCCCTACCATGATCTCTGACCTACTAAATTTCTTAAATGAAGTGCTAATCAAAATGAAATAAGCTCTATGAACTGATTTTACTCTATAGTGATTTATTTTTTTCCTACAGTAACCAATTTGAAAAGGAAAATATTTTTAATACTCTTAGGGTGAATACACAGCTTTATTTTACTATCTAGTATTATCCCTGAATTATGACTTTCAATTTAAAATGGGCACTAGGATAAGCAAGACCTTGTTTAGATATTCAAAAGCATAGCTCTGAATCGACAAGTCTGCTACTGTTGCCCTGCCAGGCGTTGCTCAGTGGTTAGATTGTCAGCCTGTGCACGGGAGGGTTGCGGGTTTGATTCCAGTCAAGGGCACATACCTGGGCTGCAGGTCCAATCCCACCCCCGTTGGGGAGCATGTGGGAGGCAACCAATTGATGTGTCTCTGTTACATCAATGTTTCTCTCTCCTCTCCCTCCCCCCACTCTGTCTAAAAAAAAAAAAATCAATGGAAAAAATATCCTCACTCCTTGGGTGAGGATTAAAAAAAAGACTACTGATGATATTAAGAATTTGGTTTTCTATTCAAGGTTAATTTCCATCAACTCAGTCTACTTTCAAAATAAGTGAAGTATAGTAACATTTATATTCTGCTTCTACTAGGGAAAGAACTGAAAATCCTTTTGGATTGGATTTATAACATCATACTAAGTGGCCAACAATCACTACTGGGGTGAAGCCAACAGACTACTAACAAATTAAAATAAATTTAAGTAAAATAAAGAAGTATCAGAAAATATAATGAAAATAAATGAGTACTAAAACTTGACGTGGAAATAATCTCTCTTAAAAAATAACACCACCCTGAACACAGGAAAATGAATATTCCAGAATCTGCTAGCTTAACTGTATTGGCAGGTACCCTAAGTTCTTTCTCACACAGCCCCCATAATACCTGGATTATATTTACTGTTGTCCTAAGACATCCAAACATGAACTATACCCAAAGTGTTTTCAGCATAGCAGCTTAAACATTTCTGTATTAATTAAATTATCTACATGTGTTAATAATCATCCCAGTTTCCACCAATTCAAGAATCTTTTCCAAGTATTCAAGATTCCTAAATTGTTCCTGCCTGGACATTTCCTTTATACTTCTTTATTCTTCCCAACTGCCAAAGATTCCAAGGTATTTCACAATTTCTTAACCACCTGTTCAAGTGGTATCACCCTAAGCAGGAGAGCTAGAGACAATGAAGAGAGTCAAAGAGTTTGGGGGTTGTGGACCTATAAAACATTAAAAGGGAGAGAAAGTGGACAACTGGCCAATGTTTAGAAGTGAATACAATCATATCAAAGTGACCCTGCTAAAAAATTTCTCCCCCTGCAATGCACGCACACGCACGCACACGCACGCACACACATGCACACTCTTCTCACCCTACAAAAGCATTTCTTTCCACATATCCACATAAAAGATTCATTTCAAGAAAAAAGGTCTCCTCTATCATCTTGATCCTTAAGTGTTGGTACTAATGATCTTTCAAACTCCAGAAATAAGAACAAACCTTTGAGCCATTTATTTTCAGGCGTGGATATTGGGGTGGGGGAAGATCATGTATGCTGTAGAAATATATGATGGTTTCAAATTTCCAAAGGTTTTTACAAGAAAAAGGTGGTGCATACACAGGTATTTATTTAATGTTATTTTCTATACCTTCATGTATATTATATTATTTGTACCTATTTAATATATAACTAAGCAGTCTCAAGTATCTTAATAAATCACAATTTGTTCTCAAGAGCCCTGACTCTCAAGACTATACTTTTGGGGATCATTTCTATAGTTTGTTACTAGAGAAATTTCTCTGAAAATGTAGAGCACCCAAAACCATGAGGAGGAGGTACAGTGTTCTCTCCTGAGCGTGAAGTCGGCTTTTGGTGTTGCTTTTGTAACTGCTATTGGCCACTGATGATCATTCTTCTCTTCCTTTGGGAGAGAACAGTCTGAGTGGTAAAAAAAAAAATTTCTTGACTCTTTGAGTATGCTTTACCTAATTACTTAAACCTATCTAAATCAAAAGATATAATTCCCATATTAACAAGAATAGGTGTGTGTGGCAGTAATGCAATTTCTGCCTTAAAATAAAATGCATTTGCTCAGAGAGCAATAACTCAAAATTAACCTGATAAGAACTCCCTTCCACTATTACAACTACATTCTTGGACTCTCCCATAGGCTGAATATTCTTAAAGTTTAGAATAATACTGGATAATCAGGGTTTGAAAGGTAAATTGTGGAAGAAATTATAGTTTCACCTTCGGTAAGGAAATAATTTCTTAAAAGCATGGCTGTGTTGTCATGGCTTGCTATTGTTGTATCACAACCCAGTGCAGATGGTAATCTACAGTGAACTTTCAGCAATTCTTAGCAGTCAAGCAATTACCTAAGCCTCCTTTTCACAAAGTATTTATTTCTTATACTGATCTCTAGCAGTTGCCTGCCACTAAAGCTTCCTGCCTAGAACTGGATGCAAAATGGTAAATTCTGGATGCCCACTTCTTATCTAGTCTGAGGAATACAAGTCATTTTGCATTATTGCTGTTCCTAGTAGTTAATGATGAACCAGTGATTGAAAACTGATATAGCTTAAGGATGAAATGACTAGTCAGACTCTGTACAATCTGCCTACTTAAAACAGATATCCACCTGGCTGTGTAGGTCTTTCTGCACAACCAAGTAGGCAAATTATCACCGCTAGGGTAGAAAATTGTAGGTCTTAAAGGGCTTGATCAAGACCTAGAAGTGGAAAAGGAGTTTAGAGGTTATAGGGTTACTGTGCCTGCTAAGTCTAGAGTAATTCTAAATATACATTTTTGGTAGGACAATCCTTCGTTGTTTAGGGACTGTCCCAGCACTGCAGGACATCCACTGATTCTGCCTACTAAATGCCAGTAGCCTGAGAGAGGGGGAATGGCAGTCATACTGACAACAAAACCCAGCTTCATCTATTTCTAAATTTTGAAGGGGTGGGGAGGGTAGAGGAGGGAGTGGCAAAGATCACTGGCCAAGAAGGTGGAAAGACAAAACCTTTGGTGCTATTAACAGAATCACAGAGTCTAAGAAGAAAGACACTGTATATAGATGAGAAAGTAGATGAAATGCCTAGAATAGTGTTGGGCACATTAGGTGATTAAATAAACAATGGTTCTTTTTCTGGAAGTTACCTGTTCCCAAATCAAGAACCTTTTCTACTACATTATTCATAATATTCTGCTTGAAATATCATGCAGAAAAAATATAGGCTTTAGAGCCAGAGAGATTGGGGTTTGGATCTCAATTCAGGCAGCTGTGTGAACACTAAATTTGAATCTCAGTTTCCTCATGTCTAGTAAAGAATAACTGTCTAGCAGGGTATAATTAGAATAAAAACTAATATATATAGCCTTGGCCAGTGTGGCTAGTGGTTAGAGCGTTGGTGTGAGCACCGAAGGGTTGCGGGTTTGATTCCCGGTCAAGGGCATGTACCTGGGTTGCAGGTTCAATCCCTGGCCCCAGTCGGGGCATATGTGGAAGACAACCAATCTATGTGTCTCTCTCACGTCGATGTTTCTCTTTCTCTTCCCTCATCCCCTTCACTCGCTCTAAAAATTAATGGAAAAAATATTCTCAGGTGAGGATTAACAAAACAAACAAACAAAAAACCCCCACAAACTAATGTATGTAAAGCATTGGAAAGTATTAAGCGCTCACCAAAGAGCAGCCACATGATTATTCTCACTCCAGTGATCCGAGATTCACTCTCAAGAGGAAGCACATCTGCTGGGCGAAAGTTCAAGCTATTTGAAAGCTTTCTTCTATTAACCAAAATCTCCTTCCTATGACTTCTTTTTAGACCAGCATATTTCACTTTCCCACCTATGAAAACCAAAATTTAAACACCTCCAGTTCCCCACATAATGGGGTTTCTAGATATACCTACTCTCCTGATGGCCTTCCTCTGAATTTGAGCTAATTTGTGATGTTCCTTTCAAAACTTAGCATGGAGATAATGCTCTGATCCTGGTCACCAATGCACAGTATCTCAATTAACACACCAATAATTTTAAAGTAAAATCAACAGATCTAGTCCCTCCAACTTTTTCTTTTTAAACAATACAGAGTTTGTAGAAAGCGGGCTATGAACTCTGCCTTAAGCATGCCCCTTCGTTTAAACAAATGTTTAGAATCAAATATTTGAATTCTCAGGTTTTAGGAACGTATTAAAGCATAGAGAAAGGAAGACTAAAGGATTAAGGATTACTTTGCGAATAAAATCTAACAGGCCTTGTCAAGTTAGCATGAAATATGCATTAGAAAGAAGTAAAGCTTATGGTTCACAGATGATATGTTAGTAGAGAAAAAATTCAAAGATATATTTAGTCCAATTAATAACTTGATTCTGTTAGCAAATCCCATTTAGAAATTACCCAAGTACTCTTTGCAAAGCATCACCTGCATATCCAGTCCACATGACACCAGGCTCTGAGGTCTTTGAGGCCGAAAAGCTACAGAAGAACAGATATTGGAATGTCTCTTCAGTGATCTGCTGACTTTCTTATTTTCCAAGTCTAGGATTTTGATTGCCCCAGAGTCATCAGCAGAAGCCAGAAGGTTTTCAGTTTCATTCAATGAAAGGCAATTGATTTCTTCTTCATTCACATGAAAATAGTCCAAGGAACCTTTGAGGGATCTGACATCCAGTATGCTAATGGTTTCTCCATGGGAGGCATAGAGCTTGGTGGGGCAGGAGGGAGAAAACAAGACGCTGGTAACGTCGTCGGACCCTTGAAAGCGTGTGTGTCCCACTGGAGTCCCATCTTCACCCCAAGCTATAAGATCTCCACCCTCTGCTCCAGAAGCCACTAGCCCTTCTGAACTTGCATTTAGGCAGAGAATAGGAGAACAATGTCCACTAGTCCATTTGACAGCCATAATGGCCCAGAAGACTCTGTGAAGGAGGAAAAACCTGTAATGTCATGTTTTACTTAAGAACTTGATGGTAGGAGACAAATACAATATTTCATTTAAATATTTAAAAAGTCATCTAAAAAACTCAACAACAACAAAAAGATATTTGAAGATCAAGTCTACAAAAGCCTAGTTGAACACAAGGTTGTGGCACACCAGGCTGGAACATGTTGAACTGGGCTTCCCTTGCACTCAGAGACCCAGATAAACCTGCTTCTCCAGCCTTTGATGTGAGGTGCACATAAGAATACTAAACACATTTAAATTAGGAAAAATTGTTTTTAAGAGAGGGCTGCTCAATCATCAGGTTATATCTTTTATCAGAATAAAGTTTTAGAGAGTAAGCCCTGGAACTAGAGTCTCTGGGTTTGAATAGTTCTACTACCTATTAGCCAAATGACTTCGGGCAAGTTACTGAAGGTCGTCTCTGTGACTCCCTCTCTCTCTCTATAAAATGGGGATAATGATAACAACATTAATTCCATAGAATCAGAGAGAATTAAATGATGTAATATATGTAAAGCACATGTAATAGTGCCTGGTACATAACAAATGTTCAACAAATATTACCATTACCCCTTTTCTCATTTTTATTAAGCTAGTCAAAGTGGCATCATATATATTACACCAATGGTCCTCAAAGTATGGCCTCCAGGCTAGCAGCATTAGCATTACCTAGGAACTTGTTGAGAATACAAATTGTCAGATCTAGAGTTAGACTCACTGAATCACAAACTGGAGTTGGGCCCAGCAATGTGTTTTAACAAGCCCCCTCAGATGATTCTGATGCATGCTAGAATTTGAGAGCCTGTACTACACCAATAATCATTTGAGAAGCTGATTAGAAAGGCAGGCCCTTAGGTCTTACCACCAGAGACTAAACCAGCAGGTTATCTACTTTATTCTGAAAACAACTCTTCTGATTGACATGCCCTTGACTGTAACCAAACCCAGGACCCTACAGTCCACAGGCCGAAGCTCTAACCACTGAGCCAAATTGGCTAGGGCAGGGATACCAAACTCTTAAATAATGAAGACCAGGCCCTGGCTAGGTAGTTTGTTAGAGTGTTGTCCCCAAATGCCAAGGCTGCGAGAGTTTGATCCCTGGTCAGGGCACACAGAAGAATCAACCAATGAATGCATAACTAAGTGGAAAAACAATTTGATGTTTCTCTCTCTCTCTAAAGAAAAAATAATAATAAACATTTAAAAAATTTATTTTAAAAACTTAATTAAAAATAGAAGAGCTTTTCCTAACAATTCCACTTGACAACAGTTTTACTTGTTAGTATTCTTTAAAGTAGAGAAAATGACTAAAAACTACTAATAATTCATTACTGCTTTTAAATATATTCACAGCCCGGCTGGGCATGGCTCAGTGGGTAAGCATCGATCTAGGATCCAGGCGATCAGGGTTCAATTCACGGTCAGGGCACATGCCCGGGTTGCGGGCTGCAGCCGATCAATGACTCTCTCATCACTGATGTTTCTATCTCTCTCTCTCCCTCTCCCTTCCTCTCTCTGAAATCAATAAAGATATATTTAAAAAATAAATAAATATATTCACAAACTTTTAATCACATTATCACCTACTTGCACTTATACAATGGTAGTACTTACATACAAAATTTAGATTCTGATATGCTAGGCAGCCCGGACCTACAAACTGGAATTACCACATACTTCCCTGCTGTTACTGCTTATGGGCAAAGCAAAAAAGGAAATCAGGGCAATTTATACAACTCTAATGGTCAGACAAGAGGAGGCAAACAAATCTGGACAAATTTAATTTTTCATTTCACAGGCCAAGGGAAAATTTACTTAGTAAAAAACTGCCATACTGCCATAGTTGCTTTACTATTTTCAGACTTGACACCTGAATTTGTCCAATGGTACAGAGATAAATTTCCTAATATTGTTTTGAAAAATCATTTAAAATAATCTGTCAATCTGCCTAAAGTTTCTATTCCCAACACAAAGCTTGTCTGTCCTATTTTTAGTCATACACACACAAATCACTAACTAGACTGCAAAAAGTCACTATTCTGTTAGTAATCAAAGTTAACAGAGACATCACAAAATCAGATGAAGCAATTTTCATAAAGATGACAAAATGGGAAAAAGGCACTTTTTGTTTTAAATCTCAGAGGAAGCAATTAATATACAGATGAAACTAATTAAACAGAAACTGAAGCAAATAAGTGAGGTTTAGACGGGAAGTGACTCAGAGGGAGGTAAAGCTAGGGAACTTTGGGTTGTTTGATTTTTGCTGACAAGTATTGAAATAGTAATTAAATAATGTTCTACCATAACAAAGGCTCTTGTCAAATGTTCCTGATAAACCAGAAAAATGAAAGATATTAATATTATCTAGGCTTAGGAACTGTTGTCTGTGATAAGTATTAACTTATACTTAATATAATAAAGATAATATCCTACCTTTAAAGTATGAAATTTGAGTTAGCCATTGAAAAGGCCATTTACATTACAAAGAATTTTATTTAAAATTCTGTAATGAATCTTTAGAGTATTGGTCATTTATTTCCTAAGTTAGAGTTTTAACTTTTCTATGGTGTATTAACGTTAAAGTCTGGAAGTCTACCCTCTACAGTTTTAGGATTTTGTGTGTATATAGCTTTTGAATCCCTGCTGGGATTTTAGGTTTTTCTCCAAGAATGAGGCAGGGTTTTTCACAGGGGACCTACATAAAAGCTAACCGGGAGACAAAAGTTTTAGTAGGTTTTCTTCCTAATACAATTCTTTTCTGGAAAAGATTAATTCAATTTTTAAAATACATTTGGTTAAAGCTCCATGCCAAAGTGTGAGGTCAGGCAATGCAATAAATGGATTTTGTATTAAAGGAACTATTGCAGGCAACAACATAGTTCCTGTAAATTTTTCCATAACAGAACCAATAGTAACTCTGAGTCTATTAACCTCATAAGACCAAAGTCAGCTATACCTTAACCTCTATTCACCAGAGGAAGAAAAAAAATTAAACTTCTAATCTCTATATTACATGGATATTTACTAATTACCTAACTAGTTAGAAAAACAAAAACAATGCAGGGAATGTTAAAAAGAGTTGGGAAAGCCGCAGAAATCCATACCTTCAGGCTTCTGATTTTAGTCAATCAACATTTATCATGCAGAGTACTGACCCATGATTCAACCAAAAGTCCCCAAAATCACTTTATTTAGTCTGTAAGATTAAAACTTATTATTTGAAACACACTCAAAGACCATCATCAAAAAATGTTAAACAAACAGCTGTAATAAAAAATGTAATTACATCTGTGTTAAATAAAAATAATCTTTCAAAAATAAGTTGTCAAGCCACTGTTTCTTGTTTTTCTCTTATGGGAACTGAAAAGCCCACCAGAAATAGGTTAAGTGCCACCATCCCCACATTCAGGTTTCAAGTCAACAAACTTCTCATATACAGATGCCTAAAGGATCAAGCACAACAATTAATCATATCCTATTGTGAATTACTTTAATTAGATAATAGATTCCTTCCAACATCTAATGAGATCATGGAGTGGGTGGGGAAAGGTGGGGTATTTGAGAGCATTTTCAGAAAGGGTGGAGTGCAACAGCTGGTAGTTCTGAACAGCCAGAGAGGATGACATTGAACATGAGGGATGCGGCATGGTGAGGAGGGTGATGAGCGGGTGAAAGATTTGTATAAAGGAAAGGAGGTATGATAAAGAAAATATTTTCCTACTCTGAAATTCTACCTGGGCCACTTGTGGGGGGTGGGTACTCTGTCACAAAAAGTCACCTCATTGACTGGACTAGATTAGCACCAGAATGGTCTGATTGGATCCTTAAAAGGCTCTACTTCACCTACACTGTGAAAGACAGGATAAAGGCCAACATCTTTAATAACTGAGTGAACTCTACTCTAAACACTCAGCTCCAGTCATATCTCCATATACCCACTTGTCCTTTTAAAGTGTCTGTGCCTTTAAAGCTGTCTGGTTCTTTGCCCCCTCTCAGATGCATCAACTCTACTTATCCTTGAAGATTTAAAAGAAAGTTAAGTGGCCCTGTCTGGTGTTCTGAGTGGTTAGAGCATCCGCCCTGCACACCAAAGGGTCTCGGGTTCGATTCCCAGTTAAGGGCATGTATCTGGGTTGCAGGTTAAATCCCTATCTGTGGGAGGCAGCCAATGGGTGTTGCTCTCTCTCTCCCTCTCCCCCTCCCTTCCACTCTCTCTAAAAAATCAATGGAAAAGGTATCTTTGGGTGAGGATTAACAACAACAAGAAAGTTAAGCATCTTCCCCAGACAAATGTTGGTCTTCCTTCCTTGGATGTCCTATGGTTGAAAGCTGAAAAATAAATAAAACTCCGTAGACTGAGGTTACACTACCACATAGTCATTATCACTGTAATAAGTGTAGGTCAACTTTTCTTCATATGTCTGGGTTTTCCAAAAGTTGGTCTTGATGTGGAGAAGCCGGATAGCAACCAAAATGACCAAAAGGCTGTGCCACTGGCACTAGCAAGAATCAAAAGAATCTGGGGTTACTAAGCTTGTTGGGGAGAGAAAAAAAACCTGGGAAGAACAGAAGTAGTTGCTGTTCTTTTATTTTTACTGGCAAACGAGAAATGGATTATACACAGCAAGGGAGTTTCTGGAAAGATTTCTTCCTACATAAAGGCAAGACAGTGGAGTTGACTACTAAAGGAATCTATGAACCCTATAATAATAATAATTACCTCATAGTTATTTCAGAATTATAAAAACCCGCGTAAAGGACCCTAGTAGAATGCCTGGCTCACAGGATAGTTATTCTTTTCTCTTACCCAGTAATCTTTAAAGGCTGTCAGAAAAGTTTTCAACTAAAAAAACACAGTATGACCAAATAATGTTTAAGTTCTTTTCCTTCCAAGAAGCCATCTATAATGACGTCTCCACGTCTTTTTCCCCTTTGGAAAATCCAATTAAGTAAAAACACACTGCCTTAATCCGCCTACTAATCAATGGGTGAGTTTGTAGGGAGGCCCGGGAAAGGCTTTATTTTGACCAAAAGAATATAGCACTTAATAAGGTTATCCAAACGTGGGGGGCGGGGAGGAGTTCAAAGGTAGCGACCTTACTTCCCGAACACTCAAGCTGGGACGCACGTTCTCATAAGCACCGTTACTCTGGGAAAACGAGGACTAACCGGGAAAAGACCACTTCAGCTGCCGCAGGTGAAGAAAGGAGCTCCAACTCAGCCGAAGGCGGCGGAGCTAGGGATTGGCTGGCACGAAGAGGGCAATTTCCCGCGTTAGGGTGGAGTCCGAAGCCGGGACCTAGCTGACACGGGAAACCCTAACAGGAAGAGAGGCCCAGGAAAGCCACCGTGGGACCACTAAGCCCAAAAGAGTAGGCCAGCCACGACCCACCGGCGCCAGGCTCCTACCTGCTCTTCCCGCTCCTCTCCTCCGCGCCTCGCGATGACCTCACCCGCGGGCGCCCAATCCCGTGCAGTGTACGGCGCGAGTCGCCTCCGCCAGACAGTCACATCCGGGGCCGAGAGGAACCGCGAGCGATCTGGGCGTGCGCCCTTGCTTCGTGCCCTCAACCCGCATGGCGGAGCCACGGGCGCGCCCCCG